TCATAGGGAAAGTGTTCCAACCCTTTTATCATCCTAGTTGCCCTTTTCTGCACTTTTCCCAGTGCTATCATATCCTTTTTAAGGTGTGGTGACCACAGGGGAGCTACTGAAGAGCCACTGCCAATATGGTTACACAGTACTGACCCGGATGAAAGAATGGTCTGACTTTATGGAGGGGTGGTGGTGATTAATCTTCTAAATTAATTCATCCCACCTCGGAAAAGGTTACACAGTACTGACCCGGATGAAAGAATGGTCTGACTTTATGGAGGGGTGTGTGTGATTAATCTTCTAAGTTAATTCATCCCACCTTGAAAAGGCAGAGATCTATAAAGCAAACTCATCAGCATTCACTTTACCTGGCACTAACATTAGTTCGGTAACACAAGTATCAGTTCGCTGGCACAAAAGCTGTGGCAATAAATGGTGGGCAGGGGGGAGGAGGAGACATAATGGAAACAGATGGAAAAGATCTTTGAAATTATATTTTCAATATATACAGATTTATACAGCAAAGTGAAACAGAACATTATGAAAGGGAACCCATAAAAGTGATGGGAGAATCACGTAAGCCAAGAATGGGCAAAACTCTTTCATTGAGCAAAAGGGGCGGGAAGATCTGGCAAACAGGCGAGGTCTGGCATGAAAAGTCAAGTTCGCTTCAGCGACATCGGCAACAGCCCCAAATAGGTGGGGGTGTGGAAAAGAAAACCCAAACCTGGAAGGAGAAAGAAAGGGAATGGTTATTTTCAGGGGTCATTTCCCACGGGAGTGCACAGGAGCGGAGCTCTGGCAGTAAAGAGCCCAGGGGGTGGGCACATGCAACAAGCCCCGCCCCCTGCTCCCAGCAGCCCTCAGTCAGAGCAAGAAGCAGCCAGGTAAGTTGCAGAGCGCCCCCCCCAATAGCTAGCAATCCAAAACAGTCCAGTGGAGCCTGAGCGGTGGGTGTTGCCTTCTGACACACTTCCGGTGATGTCAGGGGGTGTGGCATATGCAAATAAGTTATGATAATGAGCTCCTGCACCTCTTTTTCTACGAAATGACCCCTGGTTATTTTAAAAATAGATGGCGGGAGGAAATGAAGTGGAATTGTCCTACAATCAGGATCTTCTTGTGTGCCTGAGGGAAACTGAGGAAGTGCAGGGGGCTGATATCCACAAAGTGGGATTTTTTTTAAATGGCAGGGAAACGTCTGAAGCACGAATGTGCATAACACACTGGAACAAACATAGCAGAACAGCAAAGGGGTTATTAAAAAAAAGGCCTAGCTCGTTGCAGAAGGAAAATAGAAAGGGAAAAAAGCAGAACACACGTTTATTTGTACCACAAAATGAAGGGGGGGGGGAGAGATAGTGATCAGCACATTCCTTCCCATGTGCTTAATTGCTTCAGAGCTGCAACGCTTATCTTTGAAGTTGTACTGGTGGAGATTGTGGTGTCTATCGTCCATGGGAGCTTCTCCGTTCCCAGCTTCGCAACCGTTAGAGAGTCTTGCAGCCTCCCGCGTGTGGGAGCCCACCTAATTGGCTATTGCTGGGGTGGGGAGGCGCATGCGAATGCCCTATATCCTATTATGCACACAGGTAGCCCGCCATTCCTAACAGTGTTCATGTTACTGCATCTATGGCTTTTCAATAAAAGTAAAACCTTCCTGAAAGCGTGTACTTCATTGTTTAGCTGTGGGTCCTGACATTACCACAAAATGAAGGGAGGGGGGAGAGATAGTGATCAGCGGTGTGTTGAAGTTTATTGGTGGGATTGCTGGACCACTTGATTTGCTTTGAAACCCTGGCTGTGATCAGATGAGCTGTTCGATCTGATGTCGTTCTTGGTTACCCTGCATGTTTAAATCGCTCGTTCAAACAGTATAATCAGTATCCCGTTCCCCAGTCATCGCCACTCTCCCATCCTCAGCCCACTATGACTGTGAGGTTCTCGACACCAGGGAAACCATTTATGGCTGATGCTGCTTTCACCCCGCTTTTCAGGATGTCTGAACTCCCCACTGCTATTTCAAGCCAGATGGGAAGTCGGGACCTTCCCTTTCATTGTTGCTCCCGTTTTTTGGAAGCAGTAAACAACGTGTGCATCATCAGAACTCCACGCAAGGGTTTTTAGTCACCATTTGCGTGCGTCACCGCAATATTTTGTTGAGATCGGGAACCCACAGGGGGAGGATTGTTTTAGAGCAAAAAATTCAAGAGAAACGACCCTTTCTGCCATTTCTTGGGGTGGAATGGTGCTGGAAATAGTCTCTATTCAGGCTCTCATATCGACAGCCAGGATTCCGCCCCTGGAATTCTACTCCAAGCAACTTCATGCTCTGGCGGGAAAGCTCTATGGGGAGAGGAAAAAGGAAAACTTCCCTATGAAAAGAGTGGGAAAGGGAGTAAGATCAGGCAGGAAAGGGAGTGATTTCTGGTGTGGCGATACCGTTGCATAAGAACCAATGATCACAGTACTTGGTGGAGGGATTGTGGAGCTGTCAAAAAGGATCTGGTGCTTCGGATATGCACGTATGCGCATGCATGAAAAACAAACAAAAAAAGACGCCACTCGCCCAACCACTCCATGGTTACCATGCAGCAATAATCTGAACCATCAACCATGGGGTGAGCGCATGGAGCAGTAGGTTAAGGGTGGAGGTTTATATTTATGTATTTATTTATTCGATTTATACCCCGCCCTCCCCGCTGAAGCAGGCTCAGGGCGGCATACATAAAAATTAAGACAGATAAAAACAGAGCATTTATAAAACCATTAATAAAGTGCTAGTGTACAATATTGCATGAAACAATGGCGATACACAGGATCATATCAGTCATAGTTGGGTAATCAGCAGTGATTTTAGGCCTATTATCTGGGTCTCATGCTGGTTTCAATGTATGCCAGCGACATGTAGGTTGCCGATGATGGTTCCAGGCACTGGGTCTTGAGACAAAATTCTCCAGCACAAAAACATAAGGATCGAATTAGAGGCGTGGCCAAAACACGCTAAACCTGTCATCTGACCTGAGACTCTCTCAGGATTGTACCTGCATCATCCAATTTGACACAGGCAATCTGTATTACTCAGCCAGGCATTTCTGCAATGAACAAAGTGGTGATCACTAAATAATATGCTGTCGAAATAGGAAAAAATGTCATTGGCCAAACCTTTTACAAATTCCCCCAGTTCCACCTAGCCATGGAGCGTATTGTGTCTCCGCAGAACAAACCCACATCCTGAGGAACATGCTGTGCCCTCCTAACAAGTGTTTAATTTATACAAAACAATCTTCCCAGCTTTCTTACTGAACTCAAGCTAACAAACATGTCACAGGCTAAGCAATGTAGATTGAAACATGTTACAGAAATACAGCATAAATTAGATTAAAAAGCCAGCAAGGAATAACAGCCGTGTTGCTTGCCAAATATTTTAGTTCCTGTTTGATTTAAAAGCACAGTTCCTCAATATACAGTCTGATCAGGCTTTCTGTGTTGGTACTTTCTGGTCCTTTCTGCACTAGACCTTGAATCCTGGTTCAACCCTGTCCTCGAACTTACATTCTACACTGCACTCGAGTTCACCCCTGTAATTATCTCGGGGTATTTTTTGTCCCCACATTACATTGAGGTCACCCTGGTTTCGCCCCACACTCGTCCCGGGATAAACGGATGCTGTTATAACCAGGGATAAATGCAAGGTATTATGTCGCGAGTTGAACTCTGATAAAACCAGGGAAGAGGTCCAAGTGTGGAAGGGACCTCTGATAATTTGTTCCTCAGTGAAGGAGCAGCCACAGAAAAAGTCAAGATGGGCAGCCATGTTAGTCTGTCTGTAGCAGCAGAAAAGAGCCAGAGTCCAGGAGCACCTTCAGGACTAACCAAATTGGTGTCAGGGGAGGAGCTTTCGTGAGCCACTGCAGTCACTTCTTCAGAAAAAGTCAGGCTTCAGAGAGAGGATGAAAATTCTTCACGAGGAAGGGGAACTGGAAAGGGAGACTGTGTGAACAACGGGATTGGCACATGGGCTTAAAGTAAGATTTTAAAAACTGTTAGATCAAATCGAGCCTGAACTCTCCGTAGAAGCTAAAATGACTAACTTGAGGCTATCGTACATTGGCCATGTGCTGCCCCCAGCCAGCGTTTAACTGTAGTTAAGTAGAACTGCCATATATCTTTAAGAGCAGTTGCCTCTGGGAATTGAAGTCTTTAGTTAGACATCCCAAAGCATCCCTCTGACTGGCTGTTTAACAGTCATTTCCTGCACCCAGAGGCGCGGGGTTTACAGTTCTCTTCCGTTCCTTTGTCCACTCTTTAAATGGCAAAGGGGTTGGAGCACGCAATCTTTTTCACCATGAGCCAGTGAACTGAATTAGATTACAAAGATGTGAATTTCACCAGTTATTCAGCTTTGATTGTGAGTAGAGAAATCTTCTGAATGCATGTGGAGCTGAATAAAATATGATTTAATTCTACTTAACTCTGGCCGTGCATTGAATCATGTCCAGAAGGCGCTGTTGACTCTGACGTAGCGCTAGACGGAACAGGCCACATTATGAGAAGACCAGGCTCACTGGAAAAGACAAGAATGCTAGGGAACGAGGAAGATGCAACACAAGATGGATGGGCTCACTCAAGGAAAGCCACAAAGGCCCACAATTTGCAAAACCTGAGCAAGGCTATGAACAAGAGGACATTTGGGAGGACTTTCATTCGTCGGATCATCATAAGTCGTAAGCGATTTGGCAGTACTTAACACACAAAAGAATGTAAGAAAGAAAAGAAGGGGAGATATAACCAAACCACAATTTTTTTACATGTACCCCCTTGTTCAATATTGATCACTGAGGACATGTTTATGAACTAATATTCTGTGCGTCACTTGCTTTTAATTATGTGTTTCAACATGAAGGGTCTAGTCATTTTAATATGTTCTGCTGCCTCAGAAGCCCAAGAATGAAGCCTTTGACCTTTAAGTGGATTATATATAAACAAACACATTTGTACACAGATGCTTAAAAGGGAGACAATTTTCTTCTAAAGAGTTTCAAGAAGTTAACCCTGATTTCCTTGGTTCTCACGCCATAGACAATGGGGTAGACAGCCCAAGGGAACAACAGGTAGACTGCGCTAATCAGATTGTGGACATCTGCGGAGGCAGACTTGGCTACACGGAAGACGATGGAGGAGGAGAGACGGGAGGAGTAGCCAATGAAGATGATGATCAGGTGGGTGCCACAGGTGTGGAAGGCCTTGTGCCGGACGTTGCCGGATGAGATCTTCAAGGCGGTGTGGATAATTTTGCTGTAGGAGGCCAGAAGGAAGCTAAGGTTGGTGATATTGTAAATGCATCTCAATGCGATCCCCACCGTCTTGTTGACGGAGATGTCGCTGCAGGACAGCCTCATGAGAGCCATGTGCTCACAGGCAAAATGGCTGATGACGTTGGAACGGCAGAACCGCACCCGCGAAGCCAAGATCACCACTGGGCCAACAACGAAGAGGGTACAAACAAAAGATGCAAGGGTTAGCAAAATCAGGAATCTGGTGGTCACGATTTCTGTGTAGCGCAGAGGGTGGCAGATAGCGACATACCTGTCCAGCGCCATCATGAGAAGAATGTTGCAGTCGAGACCAGTTGAAAAGTAGAGGAAAAACATTTGCGCAAGGCAGCCAGTCAAGGAGATGTGGCTGGCATAGAACATGAGACTCAGCAGCGTTTTGGGAAGGATGGTTGAAGCCCCGCAGATGTTGACTGCAAAGAGCAGAGCGATGAGCAGGTACATTGGGGAGTGGAGACTCGCTTCTACCCTCACAGTGTAGATCAGGACAGAGTTGGCCGTGGCAATGATAACAAACAAGGAGAAGAAAGGGATGGCGAGGAGATATCTGGATTCTCGGAGGCCCGGAAAGGGAAGCAGGAGAAATTCAGTGTAGGAGGTGTTGGCTGTTCCATTTGAGCTCCCAGCTGTCATTCCCTGGGACTCGCTGGATGACTGTGTCAGACACAAAAAGTGGTTTCTGTCTGGAAAGGTTAGTGTAAATCCTTCTTTGTCCGATAGTGCAGTCAACAAGGGCACGTTGCTACAAACAACATAGAACACACAATAGTTAGCTAGATTCAGGTCCAGTTGCACCTTAGAGGCCAGAGACCAAGAGTCTAGTAGGACCTTAAAGACTAACGAAGTTTGTGGCAGGGAATGAGAATGGAACTCATCCCCCGCCACAAATTTTGTTAAGTCTTTAAGGTGCTACTAGACTCTTGCTCTTTTCTACGGTTACAGACAGACTTAACATGGCTAGCCATCTCGATCTGTCTCTTTAGAGACCAACATCCTTTTCAGGGTATAAGCTTCCAAGAGTCAAAACTCCTTTCGCCAGATACTAATATGCAATAATTAGCTAAGCTCATCAGAAACGGGAAATGTGCCTGAGTGCACATTTCTGCCCAGTATAGATTTGGTGGACTCAGTCTTCCAGAACATCATGAATCAAAGAACGCTAAAGGATATTCCATTTGAAGTAAGACAATGGAGAAAGAAGTACAAAGAGCTTGTGCTTTTTCTTCAAACAAACTCAAATGGATATAAATGGCTATTTCCGGAAGGCGTCACTTTCAAGATCAAAGACAAAAAAGAAAAGATTGACTCTGTTCTGAAAGCTCCAGAGTTCTTAAGGGTTCAGCTGGGAAGACCAGAGGACGGGAAAAAAGAAGAGGACAGCAAGTCGAGTGGCGAGCTGGACTCGGGTTCTTCCAGAGAGGACTCTCTGTCAGAGCAAGGGGCAGCAGCCCCCAAAAGTCCGTATAAGTTGCGGAAGAGACGGGGAAAGGAGAAGTAAAGGCTGAAGGACTCTGAATTGTGCCTTTGAGAACTTTGAAACGGGATGATTGGGGGGTACTGTTTTTAGACAGTTAAAATTTAAGCTTTAAAAGAAAAGTACTATAAATGTTTGACTCAGTTTATAATGTTATAAATGATGGGAAGACTGGATGTAACTAAGCTAGTTGGAGGATCTCCTCTCTTGGGTTTTTAGTTAGTAGTGGGTTCTTTTCTTTATCCCGTAAATGT